TATCTTGATAGGTGTTTTCGAATACCCACTCTTACAATTTTTTACAGGTTAGTTTGGGTTAATTGGAATTGTGGAAGGACGGTGATGCATGCTGCCAAGTGGATCAAATGAAAAGAAAAATAAATGAGTTTGCCATCTTTAAATTTACCAATTAGTTTAATTTAGTTCCAAATGTGTTATTTGAATTAGTTAAGAATTTATGTTATGTTTAGATAAAATTTTCATATTTTAAATTTAGATTTATAAATGTTGCATTTTTTTTATAATAAAAATTTTTATTTTTATAGCTCTGCACTTAAAATAAAAAAAAAATGAGTTTTTCGTAATGTTCCAGAGTTTATAGAAAATTGGGGAGCTACAGTTTGATATTAGAGCACGGTTTGACTTTTCTGTAAACTTATTTTGGAAAAAAAAAATTGAAAAGTTCACGTGAACAATAAAAAAAAAAGTCTTGAAAAAAAAAATTTTGATAGTGTTACTATTCACGTTACAGTAAAGACCTAAAAAAAAATTGTTTTACATGACATGACAAAGAATTTTCGGATTTTAATTATGATGTGACATACTTTGAATATTGCAAATTTTTTATAGTTTTTGTCACATTTTGTAGTAGTTTGGATTACCATTTACATATATACACATTTATTTTTATGCATTTGTCTCTTTATTTTGAAGAATAAATGATTGTTTAAATTGATTTCGAGTAATAGTAATTTAGAATTTAAATTGTTATAGTTTCATGCCTATGGTTTAAATCTTATATATGATAAATTTTTATGTGTTTTAACGTTAGCCTTTGGGGATTTTTTTTTAAAAAAATAGACCTTTGAAAAATTGCTCTTTTAAGAGATTTCACGTTCGATTTATTGTTTGAATTTTGTTGAATTGCGTAATTGCAAAATTGAAAGGCTTTGTCAAAAAGACCTAAACTGTCTAAGAAGAGCTTGGGATTTAAGCGGTCCGTCTGTGACCCCTTCCTCATCTGGAAGCCTTTTAATTGTGCGTTATTCAAATCAACAAGATGAAAGACAATATTTTGGACAATTCTAAACTTAAAAAAATTCAAAATTTTGAAACACCTGTTTTGAAATTTTTTTATTAAAAGATGTATACACGTAGTAGTAGTAGTAGTAGTAGTAGTAGTAGTAGTAATAATAATAATAATAATAAAGTGAGATTTTGTGAATTTTTTTATGTAAAAAGAGATTACATGCCTTAATTAATATGTAACTGTATACATACTTTGAAACCAACCTTTCAAATGTTAGCCCACAATTACCTTTAAGTATATATTAATTTTTATAATATAAGTTAATTTCTTAAAATACTACGTGGTTGTTATCTAGCTCTATTAGTACTTATGTGTTATTACTGTGATTTTATTTTCAAGAATGTATATGTATTTATTATATGTTTGTGTTTAAATAACCATTTATAACATGATTTTAAATAACGATATCGTTGTTATGAACTTTTACTTCTCGACCTTTTCTATTCTAAGAAATTCATAAATAATTATAGTCAAATTTTTTTTTTTAAAAAGAAGAAAGGAAAAGAAAATAGGGAGTTTGAAGGATAATGTAATTTTTTTAATGTTATAAGAACACTTGGCATGTGGCGCTCACCATTCGATTACTCTCCAGTTGATCCCAGGTATGAAATGAATTCATTTCATTCTTAATTTCTAGTATGGTTATGAGTCATATTTCTACATGTTATGAAATGTATAAGCATGGTCACCTCGCATAATATATTTTCCATTTTTGCATTTTACTAGAATATCGTGTATGCACTGAAAAAAAAATACTGATAATGCAAGATTAAACATAATTGAAATTATAATTGTCACGTGATTAGGATGATTAGGAATTACCCAACCTACCTCCAGCGTGCTGAAATGACCATTGAGAACTACATAAATTATGAAGTAAGATAGGAGCGAACTTTTGTTAAAGATGTTGAAGATTTCCTTTCTAAGTGGGAGCGAGCAAGATCATTTGGATATAATGAGGGGACAATCTTCTTGATATACCATCTTATAAGCACTATGCGACCTCAATGGAGAGATGTGGCTTACTTCGTGAGGGATATGGATTATGAGTTATATTTGGAAGAAGATTGGGACAAGATTGATTTTAAAGGATATTGTGAGGATATCATAATTTTATGGAATCACAGACAACAAGCACCAGCACCCGAACCAGAGCCAGAGGAGGACCCGAAGGAGGAGCCGGAAGAGGCCCCAAAGGAAGATATCGAACTAGAGTTGGAAGACCCTTTCGTTGATTTGATTGCAAATTCCGAGTCAGAGTCATGCATTACTTCGGATGATGAGATGCCATAAAAAAAGATTTTTTTAGGACTCACATGAATTAGGATTAAGTGTTATTTATTTACTTAGGAAAAGTTTAATTGTTTAGTTGATTTTGAAGAGCACATTACTATATGTAAGGATTGAAAATTTATATTTTTAAAATTCTTTGTTATTGCAAAGATTATTAATAAGATTATGTTGTTTTATTAAATATTCCCAAATTAAAATTTTATTTCTGTTAAGAAAATGTTGAGACAACAACAAAATCAATCTACGATCATCAGGGATTTGCTAAGGGCAGTACAAGACTTGGGTAGGCAACAAGCACAGGCTGGTCCCTATGGTGCAAACGCTAACAACATCGGCTCAATTGTGAAACAATTCCATCGCTACAAACCCCCAACTTTCGATGGCAAGGCAGACCCACTAGCAGCCAAAGAATGGATAAGAGGAATGGAGTGAATTTTCAAACATCTATCTTGCATTGATGCTCAGAAGGTGTTATGCACAGAATTCATGTTGGTTGACGCTGCAGGCCACTAGTGGGAGTCAGCATCTTGCACTAGAATAGAAGCACAATAACGTACTCTGACATGGACATAATTTAACGACAAAGTGATGGGAAAATACTTTTCCCATGCTTTAAGAGATCAAAAGGAAATAGAATTCCTTCAACTTAAATAAGGAAAAATAAAGCTTGAGGATTAAGAGAGAAAATTCGAACAACTATCAAGGTATACACCACACCTAGTGGACACTGAAGCAAAGAAAGTAAGGAGGTTTGAATTAGGATTGCGTCCTGAGATTGGTGGAATACTAGCATCCCACCAATTCACCACCTATAGCAGAGTATTGCAGATTGCCCAAGCAATCTCAAATAGATTGGAAATTGACCAAACTCCCCAACAAGAGGCCAAGTCTTTAGGAAAGAGGAAATGGAATGGGTCTAACGAAGAGAAAGGAGAAGGATCGAACAAGAAGGCTAACTTCGGATCAGGTTTTGGACAAGTCGTTCCACCTTGTCCAAAGTGCAAGAAAATGCATAGGGGTGAATGCTATATGGGAAGCATGTGTGCTATAGATGCGGTAAAATCGGACATATTTCCAAAAACTGCAAAGAGGGCCTTTCGAAGAAGAATGACGAGCCAGAAAGGAAAGGAAATGCCAGAGTTTTTACTTTAGCCCAAGGACAGGCCATAGAAGACCCAAACGCAGGTAAATTTCGAGGGCGAAATTCTCTTAAGAAGGGTAGATTGTAGCAACCCAAAAAATTTATAGATAAAAATTTATTTATTTTGTATATTATATAAATTCCTATTTTATTTGGGTCTAATAATTAGATTTTCACATATCAAGATTTAATATATCAATATTGGGCTTGTTAGATAGATCATATTAAATCATAAATTTTAGGCTCGAGAAAAAAAGTTAATTTGGATAAGTTAGGTCAAAGATATCGCAGTTCTAAGAATAGATGTTATTTTAAATTGGTTTAGGATTTGGTGTAGTTGGAGCCAATACTTTCACGTGTAGATATATAGGAATTCTACCTTGTATTTGTAATTGTAGTGGTTGGCCATGATTCTACTTTTGATTTGATAAGTATTAATTATATATATTTTTATCACAATCAAGTACACGAATCACATCATGATTTGCTTTATCAAAAAAATTTAGCTTTATCCAATTTGGTGGTACACGTCTCTTTCATCCCAATTTCACCAAAATTCTATTGTCTTTTTCAACTATAAATACAATGCCAAAAGTCTCATCATTGACTACCAAAAATAAATACAATATATACGGGAGAGAGAGAGGGAGGGAGGGAGAGAGAGAGAGAGAGAGAATAGCATTGAAAATAAAGTTTGCATACATCGAATATTTTAATCACGTATTTTTCAAAGCGGAGAAAAGATTTTAAACGTACTTCAAATTTTTCTAACGAGGTAAGATACTTTAAGTGCAAGTATTTTTGTTTCCTCGTGCGTTTATTTTCAATAAAAAAATGCATGGATTGTCAGTAGACATTTGTTTTTTTTTCAAGAGATATGAAATCCTATGAGATTAAAAGAGAACCTAAGATGGGTGTGTCGTTTGGTCACCGATATACTCCATAAGATCAGATGGTATGAATTCTAATTTTCATTGTTATATATATGTATATGAAAACTGCATGTATCTTACTGGGTGTTTTCGAATACTCACTCTTACAAATTTTTACAGGTTAGTTCGGCTCGATTGAAATTGTGGAAGGACGGTGACGCAAGCTGTCAAATGGATCAAATGAAAAGAAAAATAAATGAATTTGTCGTCTTTAAATTTATTAATTAGTTTAATTTTGTTCCAAACATGTTATTTGAATTAGTTAAGAGATTATGTTATGTTTAGATAAAATTTTCATATTTCAAATTTAGATTTATAAATATTGCAATTATTTTTTAATAAAATTTTTAATTTTTATAGCTCTGCACTTAAAATAAAGAAAAATGAGTTTTTCGTAACGTTCCGGAGTTTACAGAAAATTGGGGTGCTACATCTTTCATCTTTATGTGTTCCCGGATAAAATGAAAACGTGTGTCTATATATTTGCTTCTTTCATGATGGACTGGATTCTTTGCAAGTGCAATTGTTGATCGGTTATCAATATAAATCTTAGTGGAATTTTCATGAGGGAATCCCAAATATGTCAGCATATTACGCAACCAGATAGCATGACATACAGCTGATTTTGCAGCAACATACTCAGCTTCATAGCTAGATAAAGTAACAATTGGTTGCTTTTTGGATGGCCATGTGAATGCAGTTTTTCCAATAAAAATACAAATTCAGTTGTACTTTTCCTTTCATCTATATCTCTTCCCCAATCACAATCTGAATAACCAGTGAGCTTAAAATCATTAGTAGATGTATAAAATAAGCCTTCATTGATTGTACCTTTAAGATAGTGGAGTATTCTTTTTCCTGCATTAAGATGGGACTGATCTGGTGTCTGCATGTATCTGCTAATCAATCTTACGCCATCTAGTATATCCGATCTGGTGCATGTTAGATATCTAAGGCTTCCAACCAAGCTCTTGAAATATGTAGGATCAACATCACCATCTTTATTTTTGCGGAGTTCCAGTCTAGTTCCAACCGGAGTATTAACCGGATTACACTTCTCCATTCCAAATTTCTTTAAAATATCTGCTGCGTAGGCACTTTGAGAAATAAAAATATCATCTTTTTGTTGCTTAACTTCAATTCCAAGAAAGTGCGCCATCAATCCAATATCAATCATCTCAAATTCTTTCATCATATTTTCTTTAAAGGCTTCAAATATAGATGGATTGTTGCTTGTAAAAATCAAATCATCCACATATAAACAGATAAATAGTATACCTCCATCTTGTTCTCGTTTTACATATACTGCATGTTTATACGGACATTGCATAAACCCATTCTTTTTAAAGTAGTCATCAATATGAGTATTCCATGCTCGGGGGGCTTGCTTGAGTCCATAAAGAGCTTTTTTCAATTTATAAACTTTATCTAGTTGACCCTCTCATACGTATCCAAGTGGTTGCTTGACATATATGCCTTCTTCAAGATATACATTTAGAAATGCTGTCTTGACATCAAGCCGATAAATTTTCCATCTGTGTTGTGCAGGCAGTGAAATCAACAATCGAATTATCTCCAGGTGTGCAAGAGGTGCATATATTTCTCCATAGTCATTTCCTGCTTTTTGAGAGTAACCTTGTGCAAACAACCTTGCTTTATACCTCTAAATTTTGCCTTGTATATTATTTTTAATTTTGTACACAAATTTTACTCCAATGGCCATTTTTCCTTCAGGTAATTCAGTGAGCTTCCATGTGTTGTTCTTCTCAATAGAACTATTTTCTTCATCTATTACTTTCTGCCATCTTTTACCTGTTGAAGCTTATTCAAAAGAAAGTGGTTCACTGTTAGCTAATAAACAAAGAAATTCTTATTGTTCAGTAGCATCATAAATATCCCTCAAGCTTCTCATCTTTCTCGGCCCTTCTTCGGAGGATGATTCTGATGAAGATGATGAATCTTCAGGTGTTGTGGGTGAGCTAGATATAACTGTTTGTGTACCGCTTGCTCCATTGTTTGGTGGTTGAAATTCTTCTTGCTCAACGTCTTTAGCATTCTCCCAATTCCAAGCTTTATCTTCTTCAAAGATTACATCTTGACTCATGATAATATATTTTGTAATGGGATTGTATAACTTGTATCCTATTATCCTATAACCATAGCCAATAAGGATACATTTTTTCCCCTTTGTCATCAAGTTTAGTTCTCCTTACTTCTGGGATCTTTACACAAGTTATACATCCAAACACTCGAAGGTGATTTGCACTAGGCTTATATGTGTTCCAAGCCTCTTCAGGTATTACTCCGTGAACATTCTTGGAAGGAAATCGATTTAATAAATATACTGCAGTTGAAATTGGTTTAGCCCAAAATCCTTTAGGTAATTTCTTATCTTTTAACGTACTTCTCACCATATCGAGGATTGCACAGTTCTTTCGTTTAGCTACGCCATTCAATTGGGGAGTATAAGTTGGTGTGAACTGTTGTCTGATGCCATTCAAATTACAAAAGCTTTTAAATGCATCAGAAGTATATTATCCTCCCTGATCTAGCCGCAATATCTTTATGTGATAGCCACTTTGTTTTTCAACACTGGACTTGAATTCTTTAAATGCATTCAACACCTTTGACTTTTTCTTGAGAAAGTATACTCATGTCTTTCTACAGTAATCATCAATAATCGTAAGAAAGTACATGTTTTGTCCATTTGATATTGGTTTCAGTGGACCACATATAGATGTATGGACCAACTCCAGTGGCTTCTTTGCTCTCCAACTTGTCTCCCTTGCAAAATTTGTTCTTGCATGCTTGCCAAGAACACAGCTTTCACAAATTTCATTCGGATGATCAATATTTGGCAACCACTTCAACATCTTTTTCTTTGGCAACAATCTTAATCCTTCAAAATTTAAATGTCCAAGTCTCAAGTGCCACAACCAATTCTTATCATTTATAATGGCACTTAAACATTTTGGTAAGTCATAAGGAATGTTTAAAGCAAACATTCTGTTTTTAGACATTCGTACTTGGGATATTAGATATCCACGATCATCTTTGATTATCAGGCGGGAGTCTTTTAAACTAATGTTATTCCCTTTTCTAGGAGCTATCTTAGACTTAATAAATTATGCTTGATATCCGGCACATAATAAACATCAGTAATATAACTGTGACCACCATTATTAGGCTTGATTAAAATGTTATCTCTTCCTTTTATTGGAATTTTGGAGAGGTCGTCAAAAGAGACATGGCCATGCAGAGTTTCATCAAGCCCCATGAACATATGCTTTTTCCTACACATATGATTGCTTGCTCCTGTATCTAAAACCCTATATTTCCATTATCTGTTGTCGTATGATGAGCCATCAATATCAATAATTTTGGCTCACTTGTATCACCCAAGTTCGTATTTTCATCGACTTCAACTTCAGCAATTTTTGCGTGACATTCATTGTTATAATGTCCATGCTTATGATAGTTATAACACTACACGTTCCTTTTGTCACAAATTTGATGATTAAAACCATTTCTGTATCTTTCTTGTCCACTTCTTTGTCCTCTATCTAGACCTCTATATTGTCCTCTTCCTCTTTGATAAAATTGTTGTTGAACTTCATGTCCACTATTAATGTTAAATCTTCTTCCTCTTCCTCTGTTATTGAAACCTTGTCCTCTTTGAAATCGGCCCCTTCCTTGACTTGGTCGTGAATTTCCTTTATCTCATTTATTTTCTTGAAGAGAAAGCTTTGATTTCAATGCTTGATCAAGAGATTTTGATGAAGTTTTTTTTATTGATCCATTGTTCATGGATCTCTAGAGAAGCCAATAGTTCATCAATATTCGTAGTACTGAGGTTTTTGAATTCCTCAATTCCTATGACTACATTAACAAACTTCAAATTTAGTGAATGAAGGATTTTTTCTATTACCTGCAAATCTTTGATCTTTTCTCCATTGCGCTTGATATTGTTCACTATAGTGGGGACTCGAGTAAAATACTCCGAGATTGACTCACTATCAAGCATCTCCAATGTTTCAAATTCGCTTTTCAGCATTTGTAGGCAAATCCTCATTGTCTTTTCGATACCTCGAAATGAATTTCGAAGTGCATCCCATGCTTCTCTTGCGTTTGTAATAGAAGCAATCTTCTCAATTTTTCCTTCATCTACTATCTGATATATTAGATACAGGGCCTTCAAATCTTTCTTCCTTGCTTCCTTAAGTGCTACCTTTTCAGCTGCACATAATACGTCTTCATCGGCTTTAGATGTAGATTCTGTATAACCTTTCTCCACCATTTCCCATAGATCTTAGGATGCTAAGAGCACCTTCATTTGTATGCTCAACAAATGGATGAGAATTTTTATAGTTATCAAGATATCCTTAAACCAGCAAGAATTGGTTTTGAGACTAATTGTGGAAGGAGTACAGAATATAGTTTACCTAAAGACTCAGTATGGGTAAGAGAATTATCTTTAAATACAGACTTAATTAAGTTTTTTGTTAAAAGATAATGGTAGTATAATAATTAGTAAAGATTATTTGCAATTACAAAAATTTACAATTTGTGCACCTACTTATACTAAGATTATTCCATCAGAGTATTCTGAGAAGCGTGGTGGGATAATAGAAAAAGAAAAAGAATGTGAGTGCAGTAGAGAAAGAGAATGCCAATTAATAGAAAAAGATGAATTAGAAAATTTAAATTTTCTAGAAGAATATTATGAAAGCTTTAAGGAAGAAGAAGAAATATGTTTAGATTTTGTAGAAATTGAAAAAATATATAATTTGTTAGTAACAGAACAAGACATAGAAAATATGATTAGTAAACTAGAAAAATTAGAAATTTTAGGAGAAAATATATTAAAATATTGGGAAAAAGATAAAGTTTTTTGTGAAATAAAAATAAAAAATCCAGAGTATATAATAAAAACAAAAAATATTGAAGCTACAAATCAAGATCAGGAAGATTTTAAGATGCATATGCAAGATTTATTAAAATTAGGAGTAATCAAAAATTCAGAAAGTCCACATAGATCAGCAGCTTTTATAGTTAGAAAACACTCAGAAATTATTAGAGGAAAAAGTAGAATGGTAATTAATTATAAAAGATTAAATGATAATACAATAGATGATGCTTATAATATTCCAGATAAAACAGTTTTAATAAATAAGATTCAAGATTGTAATATTTTTAGTAAGTTTGATTTAAAATCTGATTTTTGGCAAGTAAAAATGCACCCAGATTCAATAGAATGGACAGCCTTCACTAGCCCAGAAGGACATTTTGAATGGTTAGTTATGCCATTCGGATTAAAAAATGCCCCTAGTATTTTTCAAAGAAAAATGGATAGTATTTTCAGTAAGCATAATAAATTTATTATAGTTTATATAGATGATATTTTAGTATTTTAGTAAAAATAGGCGAGAACATAGAGGTCATTTACAAATTCTCTTTTCAGAATTTATTAGACATGGTTTAATTATAAATAAAAAGAAAATATTTTTATTTAAAGAATATATAGAATTTTTAGGAGTAAATATAGGAAAAGGAAAAATAGAGTTACAACCTCATATAGCTCAAAAAGCTTTAGATTTTCCAGATAAACTTGAAGACCTTAAACAGTTACAAAAATTTTTAGGATTAGTTAATTATGCTAGACCCTTTATTAAAGATTTAGGAAAAATTGCAGGACCTTTATATGGAAAAACTTCACCAAAAGGTCAAAGATATTTTAATATAGAAGATATTAAATTAGTTCAAAAAATAAAAGAGAAATTAAAAGATTTACCTAAATTATCTATGCCATTAGAACAGATTTTTTAATTATAGAAACAGATGAAAGTATAACAGGATGGGGAGCAATTTTAATTGCAAAACCCAATAAATATGCAGATAAAGATAGTGAAAAAATTGTAAGATATAATAGTGGAAATTATAAAGAAAAATGTAATATAAGTAGCATAGATTTAGAATTACTTGCAGTTAATTATGCATTAGATTCTTTTGAATTATTCATTATTTCTAAAAAAGAAATTACTTTAAGAACAGATTGTGAAGCAATAGTAAGTTTTGTTAATAAAATGAAATTAGAAAATAAAAGAAGTAATAGAAGAAGATGGTTAAATTTTATAGATAGAATTACTAATACTGGATTAGTAATTAATTTTGAACATATTAAAGGTAGTGATAATC